AGAATGAGACATCAAAATTCATCTCATAAGTTACTAAGACTTGTTTTTTGGTTGGTTTAGTTGGTTCCTGCCTATTACACATCACCAATTACCAGTCCAAGATCTTCGTAGCAATTAAAGACAAATAATCATCAATTGCTCCTTAGAAATATCTTCACTGACCAATATATTCCATAATATCTAATATCCTTCCTGCATAAGTTATAAATGCAGGAAGTAAATAGCGTGAAATAAATTACCTTGGTTCCCTTCTTCAGGTTGCAGCCTCGCAAATAACCATAAACTGTAATGTTTCTGTCACACTTATTATCGATGCGTATTCTTTCAGGAGGAGTAACATCTTCAAAACGATCAACCAATACATATGGATGAGTAGTTCTCCAAGATAAAGGGTGAAACTTCATAACAGAGATGAACCTTGCAAGATTGTGAATCTCTCGTTTAGGATACCTAACCAGATGAGCGGAAGAGCAAACGATCAGTCAACATAGCAGAATAAGGGTAGATAAACAAAGCATGACTTGAATAGGCACTCACTTTCCATGAAGAAGACCTGATAAGTAAAATAACTTTGCTCCATCATATATTTCAGTCCAGAAACGATGCTTGAGCCGTTGTTTTGTTTTCTTAAGCTTCTTCACATCCTTGAACTTATCAAGGTGTGTCAAGACTCCCATAACCTTTGGGAACCCGTGTACTTGCAAAATATTAAGGAATTCAAAGGTTTCCTGAACAACATCAACAATGAAAATAGAGTATCAGCAATCATTGACACGGTATATCAATAGCAAATTTTAGGTAAACAAGCAGTTCTGAATTTTTTTAACTCAAGACACCTTAAACTTTCGCAACATACACATATCGATGCATGCACACATAGTTTTCTTCAAAATATTTTCTGAAATTATTATATAGCAATTCAAAGTTAACTCGCTAATAGAACCAGAAACTATCATCGAGACAAGTTCTAGGCTGGGGCCGAGCATCAGAAAGAAAAGAGCAACAGAGAAAAGGCCTAGGGCACAGTATGACTTCTAAGAGAAATCCACTCTGATGCATGCAAAGTGACAGTATATATAATATATTTGGAGCTGGCTTTTTTGTTAGCTTTGCCCTTTTGCTCATGATGAGAGTTTGCTCCAAGCACTAAAATATGCTGAATAGCGCACTCACTTAAGGTCATTTTATAAAACATGCCATGAAATACTATATAAGGAATTCTGGCTTTCTTGAGTTGATCACTCGGATTGTTAAAGAGATTCATCTTCCATGATTCATCTCTGCTCACTATTGTTCCTAATTTACATACAGTACCAAAATATTCCTCGCAGCAAAAGTAAAAGTACAACAGCATAAAAGCAAGAACTATCGACACCCTAAGAAAAATATTCAGACATCACATGATAGGCATCTTTATTGGCAGCTACTTCACGCTTTCACTTTAAACATTAAATCATGCCAATCCACTTTTCACCACCTACCCAGCTTATAATTCTGCTGGGATCCTAATCCTAGAAACAAGTTGAATTTTACTGATGTAGACATTACCACCTTCCCATAAAAATTGACCAATTGATACTTAAATGGCACTATGCCTGCGCTTGCTCGCTCACTCACTCACTTACTAATTCACTCTCCCTCTCCCTCCCTCCCCACCCCCTCTCCAGCGCGAGAATGAATGCACGAGTTCGGGTAGGCAGGTCTGAATATGAATGTGTGAGCATGCCTAGATGTGATCGTGTGTTTCTGTGAGTTTGTATAATCACATCAACAAAGGTTATTCCAAAGGCAACAAAAAGAGACCACCTGGGTAGGAACCTCAACTGATCAAGTTTGAACCGTGAAAAGTATTCATCATCATGACCTCCGACTTATGAATCGTTTACTTACTCAACAGGATCCCATTGTAGTACACCATTAAATAATTCTATCAAATTGCACCAAAAATGTCCTTATCAATTCAAATGCAAGGCGACCGGGGTTTCATGTCTTAAAATGCCTCCACCGCACCAATACCACATAAGACCTAACAGGTCTATCAATTTGCCAATACTACCGTTACATTAGCAAATGAAGCTTCTGAGATGGACAAGAAAAAGGATCTTCCTTTGCGACAAAGAAGAATTAAACTGAAAATGCCAAAATGTATTGTAAACTAGACCATTATCTACTTCTATCATCCACACGACAGACTTTTTCATCAGCAAAAAGAATAAAGAAATCTTCAAGCAAGCATGTGTAGCTCCAATATCTTACCATTTCGAAACCGTAGCTTCCGTCTATGAGAAGCAATGCCAGATCAGCAAATTTTGCAGCATCAATCATGCCATTGATATCATTTGGGCACTCCACAAACTGCAGCCTCCTTTGCTTGCCTGATGTAGCAAACATATGGAACAAGACGTTAGATCAAAAACAGAAAGAAAGGATATTATTACATGAAAAGGATAATGCATGAATGGAGCAAAATGCAACTTTACAGAACCAATCTTTGAAGCGTATGCACCAAAGCATACAAATCATATGTAGAAGCTGAAAAGGTTAAAAGCCCCTATTCGAGCCAAAAAGAGCGTAATTCACTAGCTTAAAAGCAAAAGATGACCTGACACGATCGTAATCGGACCGCGAACATTGGGCAAATTATGCTTAGTATAATGCTTCACTAGCGACTTGATCAAAAGAGACTTCCCAACCTGCAACAAACAGATCCAATAAACCAGCATCAAACCTCTAAAACCGCCTCCCCAGCCAAACTTTCAACCACCGAACTCCAATTCCAACTAATCACCACCCGACGTCAATCCAACCAACGCCAATTACCTTCGGAGGCCCGTGAACTAGAACCACGTAAGGAGGCGGCTCGCCGTAGGAGCGGTCGATCGTGGGGACGTGGAGCCGCCGCTGCTCCTTCTCGACGGCGCGCGACTGCAGCCGCTTGGCCTTGACGGAGGAGTTGAAGGCGAAGGCCTTGGGGTTCTGCCTCTGCGGTTCGTCGCCGCCGCCGCCGCCGCCCTTGCCCTTCTTCCGCTTGCCGGCCTTGGATTTCTTCTTCGCGGAGGGCCCCGCCTGGCGAGAGCGATGGGATTTGTGCGATTGGTCGTGGCTCGCGCTCTCCGCGGCCATGGCTGCAGTCGCTCTTCGCCTGGCTTTGAACTCGCAGGAGTTGCGGTAGACGAAGAAGAAGAAGAAGAAGCTCTTAAAACCCTTCTTGCTGAAGAAGACGAACTGAGCAGTTCGTAGGTTTAAGCCGCAGTCGGCGCGTGAAAAAATTTTGGAAAAATGGCGGTGAAACAAAAAAAAAAAAGAGGTGATGGGCCTGATGGCTGGTTGGTTGGGCCTGGGCTGGGCCTAACACCGGGCTTGAATCGTTGTCCGAAGCCCGCTCAAGACCCGAAAGATATGTTGAACTATTTGGGCTGGATTCGGGTCGGGCCAAGCATGGGCATGCCGGGCTTTATAAGGCTCTTTCCCAAGCCCGTCTATTTTCCCATTCGGGCCTCGGTGGGACGAAGCTGGTTGGCTCGACTCTAGACCGATCATGTTTAACTGGGTCTACGGAAGAGGTAGTTTATGCGACGGTTATACCACCCGGCAATGGCACGTGATGTAATGAACCAATTAAAAAGTGAGATGCACGACCTTTCTGTGGCGTGGAGTAGGATGAGATTATAGTACCCAGGCAACGGAGTTTTATCGGTTATATTGGCATCATTGTTTAAATGACACATAAAATTGCATGTTTGTCATTCAAATAGTGACATTCTTAAATTGTACTTTTCAACACAATATTAGGACTTCATTGTGTTTTTTCTTACAAAATTTTAAGGTTTAATCGAACCAATCGAAAGATTAGTTAATTGCACCTGCAACTCAACTACATTCCATACAATAGATTTTAGGACTTATAATGTAACTTTTCCTACATATTTGAATATACTTGAATTACAAAAAACCTATAGGAAATTTCAATTATTATCTTATTCTTACTGACTTCTTTTTTTGATCAATTAAATGGGTTTGGATAGGTTGTGATTCATATGCTGCTATAATATTTGGTTAAGGCGCCACCAAACACCAATTGTTCACTTGGTGAGTCATTGTCACAGACCATCAAGAACGAGTAAGTAAACTAATAACAACAACACATCTAAGCATTCTGTACATAAAATTTAAGATTTACAATACAATTTTCCCTACATATTCATATATATCTGAATTACGAAAAGCCTAAGATATTACCTAATTTTTCCAAGTCATCTTTCTTTCTTTTTCTTTTTTTCGCTTAATTAAACGAATTTGGTTTAAGTTGCCAATGAAACACCACCTGTCAATTAGGCGAGCCTGCCACCACAGTACCGTCGGGGCCGAGTGAGGAAGCTAATACCACAAACACACCTAAGCCTGGCCGTCCTTAGATTAATTGATGTTTTTTTGAAACGGAAAATAGGTCAGAGAATCGAATCCTTGACCTTTAACTTACAAATTAAGCAATTTCAAAAGGTCAATATATTTCTCCTTTGCTCCTATGAACTTTCAAGTCTTGAATAGCTCACTTCGTTTTGGTTTCAATTATTTGTGTAGAACATGTGTGTCCGAAAGATAAGGATGATTAGTTTCAGAGTGGGTAGTTTTCCACCTTGAAATTTGGATCCAAACCGGACATGATCGGTTTCCCATTTGTGGAACTAGGAACCGGCCCACGTGGGCCTGGATCGATCCCAGATCGATAATTTCTTTATTCTTTGGGGGCTTCCTAATATTAAAAAACTAATTTATTAATTATGATTTGCTTCAAAATATAAAATAAATAAGAAACTTGACCGGGAGTCCGGTTTGATCGGTCCAGTTTCACAGTTTCTTATGTGAAAATTGGTACCAAATCGATTTCCCAGAACTACCCAGAACCAGTTGGTTCGGTTTGGTCCGGCCGGTTCTCGGGTTGGACCGGGACCTATGCCACTCCTGGTGAGTGAGAAGGCGAGGAAAATGACAGGAGAGAAGAGCGCAGATTAGCATATAGCATGGTCGTCTTCTCGGGAGAGGAGGCAAACAGAGCAGCAGCAAACATGAGGAGCAACAGCACCAACAGCAGCAGCAACCACCACCACCTCCGGGAAGACAAGACGGAGAGCCCCGATTCCAGATTCAACCAGACCCTCCGCAGCGTCCAAGGGTACGGCAACTCTCTCCTCCTCCTCCTCCTCCTCCATCGCAATCCCGCATCTTTTGCATTCAGCGGCTCTCCCCGATCATGGATACGCGAGTGGCCGTGTTTGTAGCTCGAACGATTTTCGATTCTCGCGCGTGTTCGGCTTCCGTTTCGCAGTAGAGCTCCGGATCTCTGGAATCGAAGCGGGTAATCGCCGTGATCTGTCTCTGTGCATCTGGTTCGAGTGTTCTGGAGCTCGCTCGGGATTTGCGAGATTTCGAGAGCTTTGGTCCGGGTTGGGGGGGTTTAGCTGCATGATCGCGGGAAATGAATGGGGGTGATGTGGGGAATTGAGGTGCGCTTCTTCGAAGGCTGTGTGTGTGGATCTGTTTGATTTTAATGCCTTGACATTGAAGTAAATGAAAGCAGGAGCTTCGATAGCTAATTTTTAGACCAAGGGAATGGATCAGATAGTCTTTTGTTCTGCCTCAGTGAGATGTGGTGCCCGGTTCTAGAGTTCAGTTTGCGTTGACAGACTTGAGCGAGACAAGCTGCGTGCTCTGCTATTGCTTGATGCTGGATATAGGACTAGAGCTTCTGCTGACTTTTCTTTTAATCCTCAGTTACCACAGTAATGGCGGATGTGGAATTTCAAATTTGTGGATTGGTAACAAGTTCCTGATTCTGTGTACTTCATTTGATTGGGTGATTTGTGACTTTGCCGACTATGCTCACCTTTGAGTGCGACATCTACTGTTGTCAAGAAGCGTAAATCAGAATTTTCTTTTTCCACTCAACCAAAATTTTGGCTCAAAACATCTGGCCTTGGTATTTGACTCATCCAAGTGCCTCTTCTCACCCTCTTTCTCCTTCCATCAGTTACTATGTGTCTGTGTGCACTGTGCACGAGCAAGTGTGTGTGCTTCTGCATGCCTATGGATGATATCTGCATTCGGTGCATGTGTCTTTGCCTACCTTCTCCTTGGGAGCCCGTTGCAATCTCAAGGAGTCTGGCCTACAGTAATGTGATGCCGGGTGGTTGTATCGTATTTATTTGACATATATCTTTGTGGTATTTCCTTTATCCACCGTCTGTTGCTATTTGCTCTACACTTTTGTTAATTTCGTCTCTGAGAGCAGCTGCATACCCTGGCCATGACTTTTTCTGTGGTAGGGTATTACCTATATGACTGCTTTGCGTTAGTCACTATGTGAACTTTAACATCTCAGATTGTATTGGTAGGTTGCTCAAAGGTCGCAGTATACCTGGAAAAGTGTTGCTGACCAGGAGATCGGACCCGTTGGACGATTCAAGCTGGCAAGACCGCTCTCCTAAGTATGAACGAAGTCTCTCAGAAAATGATACTGGCCCAAGTGATCAAATGGACAAGTCAACGGAGGTAGTACGGATGATGCTAGTTGGTCTTCTGTCATTGCTACTATAGATAGTCAATTTTATGAAAGTTTAATAATTGGGAATCAATTGAGAGATTTTGCTTCTGATCTAGGAAGATGACAAAGGTCCTTTTAAGCCAAGTACACACGAGAATCTCAACAAGTCTAAATCCTCAACATCAGATGTTCATAGTACTCCCAAAGAAGTGCAGAAGTCCACCATTGGTGCGAGAGCTACAGATTCTGCAAGGGTCATGAAATTCACAAAGGAGCTCTCAGGAACAACCGTCATATTAGGTATGATGAGGATTTCCTTGTATAACTTTTTCATCCTGATGAAAGCATGAAAGTGGAAAATGAATTTTCCTTCTCTTTTTTCCCCAATTTTGTTTAATAATGACGAACTGGGGAATGAACACACATTAGCAGTTATTCTTGCTCAGATTGGTTGGATTTGGTTAATGTTGCTTGTTAAGATGTTTGAACTGGTTGGCAGAGGAGAGATGGATCTGTGTATGTGGATGATGCTTCAACTTTGTGCACACTTCCTATTTCTTCTAGTGACCTTTAGAACAATATATAGTCTCGATTTCATAAATGATTAAATGAGCTTTTCTTGTTAGTAAATTACAGGTGGGTAGTTATGTATTCGACTACCGAACTAACTTTGTGGTAATTCTTTTTTTGTTTTCAAGTCACTCTCATCGCTTTTGCTTAGTCCAAGATTCTTCAGGTGAATAGGCTAAACATACTCATGCTATCTGGTTTCCTGATATTACAGTTTTTTATGCACCCGTGTCCAACTTTTGACCTTTTAGGGGGCTTCCTTGGTCTTACACAGAATTTACATTCTATTTTCTTAGGCTTTGTCTTGTATTTCAGTTGCTGTTGCTGAATTAGTAGTACCAGTAAGTTTGATTTAACAAGGGTAAAAGTGATAAGGCTTGTTCTCACTTATACAGGGTTCATGAAAGATTTATAAGCATTGGTTTGATGGAGCTTCGTGATTTTTTTCTTGATCTTTTCATGGATAGAGGTCTTTTTGTTATTGCATACTGAGTGCAGCAAAGGCTCTTTATGATTAAACTTGGTCCTTTAATCTTATTTATGTGATGATGACATTATGTAGAAAGGTTGCGAGAGTTGGCATGGAGTGGAATACCACCGTATATGCGCCCTACAGTTTGGAAACTCCTCTTGGTAAGCTAAAGCTGTTACTTTGGGAAGTAGAGTTAGCACATTTATATCCCCAACTGGGCCTTCAAAAGTTAGCAATAACTTCACTGTTGACGTACAAAGTTGGAAAAATAAAAAGGAGCTGCATTTAGTTGTTGAAAGAATTTCTTACTGGAACTGGCATTCTTTTCAATTAAGGTTTTGTTGGTGGCTACCACATTAGATTTTGATTCCTTAGCTATATAGGTGTACTTATAATCATTCTAAGTGTGCGTAGTGCTATGTAAGGCATAATTCCTTTATAGTAGTCAGTTTGTGGTCTGAAATCTATAAATATAGAGAAGCATCTGGTGGTACTATGCGGTTCACTAGAAGCACAAATATTTTGTCCTCCGAGTCTTACGTTTTTGCCATACACTCTTTTACCATCTCAAACTGAAGCTTTCGAGTGTAATTTATGTGGAATTGATTTTGACCTTCAACTTCTCATAATGTGATTGTCCTACCTGCCTGGCATGTTACTGTGATAACTTTTCCTTCGGTGGGCTTATTGGTATTCATGTAAGAGTTATTTTTTGGGGTGCCTCGTTCATACATCCATCGGTTACAGTTGATAGACTATTACCATGTAATGGTAATTTGGTGGAGGCACAGAGCCACTGAAACCCTCCTTCTCTTTCTTTTCTTGCCCAAAGAATAAAAATAGCCTGCTAATACAATCTTCACGAGTTAGGATTCTTTTGGTAGTCAATCTCCCTTTTTCTCATGCCAGTACAATTTAAGCTCACAATCGGATTTAGCTAAACAATACTAGTAGGTTAATACTAATGGGGATGAACCACGAGATTTAATTTTGCCCAATACTATTGTAGATGTAACTGTCTACAGGCTGAGGGCAAATAGCAACATTGTTATATTCTTTTCTGATAACTGAGGAATTCACTAATGGCTGCCTAAGGGGTTACATCTACTGTACAAAATTAATTACAATAAGATCTTGAAAGTTCAGAGAAGTTTGAGTACGAGAAAGGGTGCTAACTGAAAACCTCAAAAAGAGCTCAACAACCATTCCTCCTTTAGAACCATCATAGGAGTTTCAATATTTTCAAAAGTCCTTTGGTTCATTTCCTTTTAAAATCTTTCAAAGAAAAGAAGAATGAACTGGACAGCCATATCTGTTTATCTAAATGCAGACCAAGTGCTGGAACATGCGTAAAAACCTAGGGAATGAGGACGGATAGCAACAATTTTTAACCAAATGCTCTTTCCATGTCGGTTCATGTTGTAGACCATGCATAAAGATCCATAAATCTGGTTTAACAGTTCACTGGCTTGAAATTCATTAGTATGATTTGGTTTGACTAAGTTTATTCATAGCTTGAAAATTAAATATGGACTGACCACAGGGATATGCACCAACTAATTCAGATAGAAGGGAGGGAGTCCTGAGAAGGAAACGCCTCGAGTATCTTGACTGTGTTGCTCAGTTCTATGACATTCCGGATACTGAACGCACGGATGAAGAGATCAGCATGCTTCGCCAGGTATCTTTTGTTCTATCTGGCCATGTCTATGATTGAACTAATTTTCTCAGTTCTATATTCTGCTTCTGACAACTCTTGTGAACTTTGATTAGATTGCTGTGGATTGTCCAAGAACTGTACCTGATGTTTCTTTCTTTCAGCAAGCCCAAGTACAGAAGTCCATGGAGCGCATCCTGTATACATGGTCAGATTATCTTCTTTGTACATGGCGATTGATGCTTTAATCACAATAAATGAAAACTGAAAACCTTGCTTACCTAAAGCACAGACGAGGGTGAATTGGAATTTAGAGTAGTCTGAAGCTACCATTTGACAGAGTGTCTGAATGTGTGACTTAAAAGCTTAATCCAATAGGTGGAGGGAGAGTAGAATGTGCAATGATGACACCATGGGTTATTCTATTGTGTTATCCTCATGCTTATTGTGTTCCTCTATTTTACTACTATGGCACAAGATATCTTCTGCTTCAAAGAGGAGGCTAGTATTTGTGGAGTCTAGCATCCACAACTGAATGGCCGTTTGACTTCTTAGATAGGGCAAAAAGCCAGTGTTTTTGTTGGTGGTAGTGACTTCTACTCATTACATTTTTTCATACTACACTGAAGACAAAAGGTTTAGGAAAAATGGAGCGACTTTTTTTATTTGGAAAGGTTTAGGATATGTCGCTATTCTTCCTTCTTTAATATTGATCAAAGGGCCTTCTACATATAAGCTCTTTTGCCTTTTCTTGCTGGGAACGTTTTCTTTTTATTGATTAACCAAAAGATTCATTGGTAGGGCACTAAGGGCTGCCAATTTTTTTGTCTTAATATGATTGCAGTATTTTCTCTATTCAATTATTTTGTCATACCTTCATGTGCTGCCGCTATAAAGTGTTTAATTTTACAGTTAAAGTATTAATGGAACAAGTCTGTAATATCTTCTTGTCACAGGCTAAGCTGTCTGATACCGACCTGAATTGACAGTGTCATGCATTATCTCATAGGGTCTCGTGAGAATCTATAATAGCACCAAGCCATACATTTCAGAATTAGTCACAAACTAAAATGATCTTCATTAGACATTTTCCTGTCGTATGACCTTTTCCTTCTCTGGGCTAATGAAACTGTGGCCACTATGAAGTGTAAGAACTAAAATCGAGAGCTCTTTGGTTCATCAAGGAGATTTTGTGGTGGGATTTAAATGATGGTTTTTATGTGGTGGGTTTTAAATATGGTTCTTAGCAATTACCATTGAACCATGAGGTAGTTGTGCAGTTTGTTAAATTCTTTAGGACCAAGTTGAACTGTTGAAGCTGCTCAAATGAGGTCCTGTCTTCACTTTCTTTGTTCCATGTCTTCCCTAAGGACATGTTGATGTTATGACACTTTTCGAAGGAACACTACTAGATGCCTTCTCCTGGTCAACTTAATCTCTCTCTAGGGATTTCACTGGTAGATTAGTAAATTCATGAAATTTCTAGCCTTTTTTGAATTCCTAATTTCTGCAAGCTATGTCTGTGCCAATCCTTTTTTGAAGAGTCTAGATGGATATTGCTTTGTGCTTGTTGATCTTTCTTTTAATGCTTAGCTGATTTAATCCAGGGCTATCCGTCATCCAGCTAGTGGGTATGTTCAAGGCATAAACGATCTAGTCACGCCATTTCTAGTCGTCTTTTTGTCAGAATACTTAGAAGGAAGTGCGGATAATTGGTCCCTATCTGATTTGTCTCCTGAGAAGATCTCTTACTTAGAGGCAGACTGCTATTGGTGTCTGACAAAGTTGTTAGATGGTATGCAAGACCATTATACATTTGCTCAACCGGGAATCCAACGACTTGTCTTTAAGCTGAAGGAATTGGTCAGGCGCATTGATGGTAAGCCTTAGTCACGAATTTTTGAGTTGATAATGGACATGTATCCAAAATTGCAGTACCGTGATATTACTGATTATAGTTTATTAGAAACAGAAGGATGCGTCTGGTGCGGTCTACTTGTGGTTTGATTAAATTTGCTGGGAGTGCGTTGAGCAGTGCCCTGACAGATGCCTTAATCTTTTTAAAAATAATGTTTAGCAGCTTTACACAGTTCTACATGAATGTTGATTAGGGTGCTGTCAATTGGTAAATTTTGTAGCAGACAAACTGAAGACACACGACAATTCCCTTCTAAGCATACCTTGGTTTCACTTCATGCACACAATGTAAACTCTAACGACAAAGTTGTCCTTTAAGAAACATGCATTTTTTTGAGAACAAGAATGTCTCAGCTTCCTAAGCACCTGTGACTTTGACCACCATATGTGATATTTGAAAGCAAGATATACGGCACCATTTTCATTTTTCTGTACTTATGACATGCATAAATTGCTGCGTACTTTATTTCATATCTAATGAGACAGCATGGAGTGCCTTCTGAAATTTTATTTCAGTTCAATATGGCCATATTGACTGGGCTGGATTTCTGGATGTGCATTTCTTACATGCTGTTGGTAATTAACATAGTTGTTTGCATATGAAAATAATGGTGCATTTAACTACTTTGCTAGTTTTGGAATATGTCACTTTTTTATTGATGCTCGTCAGTCATCTGGGTTTTAGTTTCATTGCAATTTTGGAATTATTTGCTGTAATTTAAACTTCTCTTTCTTTAAATTGGACCAGAACCTGTGTCAAGACACATGGAGGAGCAAGGCCTTGAATTTCTGCAATTCGCTTTCCGCTGGTTTAATTGTCTCTTAATACGTGAGGTCTGTTGTTACCCAAGCTTCTCTCTAGTCTTCACTTCTTTAGTTCTCTTGAATTAAAGATGCCTGTATAAATTGTGATTTTTCAATTGTACTCCTATAAATTCAATAATTCAGGCATGAAGCTTATGACCTAATTCCTCTTATTAGATCCCTTTCCATCTCGTCACTCGCTTGTGGGACACATATCTTGCAGAAGGAGATGCATTGCCAGACTTTCTCGTTTACATATTTGCTAGTTTTTTGTTGACGGTACGAGAGACTACCACTCCAACTACTTTACAGTACAAAGCAATAAACTTTTCTACATGTTTGAATTGTTTTGAGGAAAGCAGTTATAAATTTGATTCCTTTATACGTCTTTGGCCTGTGAATATAAGCTTTTTTGTCCGTAAGCTGATATTTGGTTAACTTGCTAGTATGTTTACTGATTTTCCTTTACATTGAGGACACCGCCTGTCATGTGGTATCTCAGAACAGAACAAAACCTCAAAGATGTTGCTTCTCAGTAACATCTTGATCTGTTATGTATTTAAATTTTGACAATTACTCCAGCCCATTTTATTGTGACTTGCCACAGTATCTAGTTCAAGCCTTCTCACATGAACATGGTCTAACATGATGTGAGAACCAAGAGCTTTTTTAATAGACTTCAGAAACCTTTCTGAGGGTGATCTCACTCCCATAAGCTTTAGGTTGGAAACTGATTGAGTTCTCCATTTGTTATGTCAATGCCCTCGTACAGCTGATTCAGATGATGGATAACTTCGTGACTCGTAGGATTAATATGTGTGAAGGGTAATGATGTAGAAATATCTTCAGGTCTAATCAGGCTATATCACCAGAACTTGATGACATAGAATTAATGCAGTTCTAGATAGTGCTTAATACCAGACAGTTAAAGTGGATCTTTCTTTATGAATTCATCAATTTGCATGTGATCAACCAACATCCGACTCATTTTGGAATTAATGTTTGTGGTGGTTGCTCATATTCTATAAGCGAAGCTGTCTAGGAGTTTTCTAAGATCTTTCGAAGCTTTTCTATTTGTTGAGTGAGATACATCTTCAATTTCTTGGTGCAGTTACTGCATGATGTGCAACTTCTGTTTTCCTATCTTTTAACAGTGTTGTAAACTTTTTTATTTCCAATATTTTCCATCAAGCGTGCGTAAAGTGTAACTGGAAAAGTTCATACTTTGTGGCTCTCAAACTTGTGTACTGGTGGATCTCTGCATAACAGTTTTCTTCAGATATCTTTTGTTGTTTAAGTCATAACACTTGGAATGATCACTATTTGTTTGTTCCCTGTGCTGTGTTCAGTGGTCGGATAAACTTCAGAAGCTTGAATTCCAAGAAATGGTGATGTTTCTTCAACACCTTCCTACGGAAAACTGGACTCACTTAGAGTTGGAGATGGTGCTTTCTAGAGCATTCATGTGGCATAGTATGTTCAATAGCTCACCCAGTCACTTGGCTAGCTGAAGAGAGTACAGTTGCATTCATGCTCTTTGAAGGGATGTTGATTTTTTTTTCCTCGACTTCTTTTCCTATTTCATGTGCTTTTTTACCCCCTCCAAATCCTTGCAGTGTTTAATTATCTTACAAAGTAGTACTTTTTGCTAGCTTCTCTGTCAAATTTTCGATGTTCTTGTTCTGTATTGGTCATACAGTTCCTTCCTATATTTGTAGACTTGTAGATATACTGTTCATGGGTGCCACAAGAAAGTAATGCATATGTGAAGATAAATATGTTTGCCCGCGCCCGCTTTTGTTCATGAGTTCATGTTATTTTACTGTGATACAAAGTGGGTTCTTGATTCCTTCGTCGCATTTGTTGTATGCAGAGTAATTTCTTAAGGTCCTGTTAATGAGTATCTCTCTTTCCCCTAGTTAAGCATACTAAATGTGCAATAATTCACTTTCAAAAATAGTGATTACACATAACACGAGACTGTAAGTACATTCAAACTATAAAGTTTCCTTAAATGGTAATTAAATGACGTGCCTTGAACACTTGTCAAGATTCATTTCTCAATATGACTAGTAATTTTATGTAGTAAATAAAGCACGACTGAAGTAACGACAATATTCATCCTCGAATTATTACCACGCAAAAAGTAACTATCAATACATCTGTAGCAATTTTTTATGTAAATACTCTACTGAGGCAGTAACTACCTACAAAGCCAGTAACTGGGCCATGGATTGTATCAGTTTTTTAGCACATTACTTGCAGAAACGCCATGTTCCACATCATCCATTACATCTCATCCGGGAAAAAAGAAAGAGCTTTTGAAGAAAACATACGCGAAAAGATTTTCTTTTGCCACAACCCGAATTCAACAGAACATACAATTTTCGTGCCTTTCCTTGCACTTATAGTTAGCCCATTACGTGAGAGGAAAAGGTAATACCATCAGCAAACAATTTAATACAGAGGATCAAATGCAATGAGGCGTCCTTAAAGGACAATAAAATTCCTGATAACAGATAGACAAGTAAAGGTATACTCAGGGTTATCAACAGTAGTGTCTGTTGACTGATCTATACAGGAAGAACTCAACTAGAAGCAACTTGTGACAATGACAATGAGGTCCATCCACAAACAAATAGAACATCTACAAAAAAACCTGTTCCATATAACCTAAGCAACAGTGACTCTGCAACACTGGCATGAGAAAAGAAACCAACAGCACCTGCTATAAACATCCATAATCTGCTTCATCTGGCCTAAGCTCCTCTGGTTTAGAGGCCTACCTACGCACGGATGGGCATAACAGTTTGACAGCAGTTACCCATGTTTCTATTTCAATAAATAATTCAAGATCCTGCTGCAAACTGTGTGCAACGATTTTGATAGAAGTCGGCAAAAGTGGTGCATCTTTTCATTGCTGGAGTAGAACTTCTAGCTGTCCATTCTTGCATAGCTGTAAGTCCTCAAACAAGATCAACCGATCTCCTCTTCGGCTAGAAAAGAATAAGAACAGAAGTTAAGAACTTCATCTTCAAGATGCCAAGTTTCACATGACCAAATGTCACAAAGTATAGTTCAAGCATCAAGAAGAATAATAAAAGCTAAAGCCATCAACGAAACACTGGCATGGAAGCAAAAAACAGGATTAGGTCATAAATCCCAATAATTTATTATAAGCAGCTATCAATGAAAAGAAGGAATACATTCTAGTATAAATGTAGAACATGCATGGAAGCAAAATAACTCAAAAAGAAAGCGAAGCTACTACTCCTACTTGAACAAGCCAAGAGTATAAAACTCTAGTTCGTCATCAAACATTTTTTTTTAGCAATGATGACTGGTGCTAAAGGAAATTCATCTCCAGGTAACATCCAAGAGACATGAGCATTTATATCAAAAGATAATCCCAAAGCTGCTAAAGACAGGAAGGATCAGAGAGAAGCCCATGCAGCAAGATAGGCATATAGAGAACGTAATGCTAGAATGAGTATGGAAGAGCGAGTTCCTACATGTTTTCTGTCGACTTCTTCCAGGAACTTTTTAGGAGAATCCAAATATTCAACACAGTCTCTCTTCACCAACTGTACCAGATCCTTTTCTCCAGCCTTCTCTAGATTTCTTATGAGAATCATCAGGGTAAATTCATTTGGGGTACGACCAGCCGCTTTCATCTTCTCATAAGTCTGCATTGCCTCTTCAATCATGTCCGCTCTTAGATATGCTCCAATCATCTCCGCATAAGCCCTTGTGTCAGGTTCAATCCCTTCTTTCAGAAGTCCGGAGAAAACAACTTCGGCAAGAGCAACCATTTTGTTCTTTCCCAATAGTTGGATCATGTCGCAACGCAATGTAAGTTCAGTGTCGTACCATTCCTCCTCGCACATGTACTCGAAGACCTATAGCTCGAATCTTTTTAGATAGAATGAGAACAGTAAACAGGAAATATTGAAATAGTGCATCCAGAATTCACACCACCCTTGTCCATACAGCGAGGGTATTACTTTGTTTCTCTTTTTCCTCAAAATACTAATGAGAACAGTAGTTTGAATATGCCCAATGTTGTTTCGCTTGATGAAACATGGAAAACCTGCATTTCTGCCCAATTTTATCATTATTATCTTTAAATTTAATATCTTCACAGTGATTCTCCTTTCTTTGTGAATGCCTAATGTAGAAGATTAAAAAGAGTACCCAAACCCAAGCTCGGAAATCCTAAACATGGATAAAATCCATAAGGCCAAACAAGCCTACAAGAGTCATTGTTGCAAGGTAAGCCAATCTTATCAGTCAACACTCAACCCGTTTTCTAAAAATCACCCATGCCACTCACTAGCTCGATGCACCGGCTGAATCACCGATAACCAATACGAAAAACGAATTCACCAAACTTCAGAGCAGCACCGAATTGCCAGATCACTTGCTCTGCTCATACCATTTAGAGCATCCATTACAATTAAAGAATGTAACTTACACAGACACCCAAAATGGCCTCCTAAACTTCCAATTCCTATATACACGGGCAGAGGTTTTTCACATCATACGCCAAAGTTACAAAGAGAGAATTCGAAAACCAACAAGAAAAGCAAAGAAAAAAAAGACCCAGAACCACAACCAACAAGGGAAGACCCCGGGCGCGAAAAAGGCGATACCTTGAGGGCCAAATCGACCTCGTTCTGTCTCTTGAGCTCGGCGAAGGCGTTCAAGAGATCGGACTTCAAGAGCCGAGCGAGGGTCGTGCCGAGGACGTGGTTCAACCGGGGCGTGGATTTGGCCAGCTTGAGGGACTGGACGGCTTGTATGGCCTCCGTGGACAGCACGTCCGACCTCCACAGTGGCCTCCTCGTACTGTTGCGAAGCCCGCAGGTGACGAAGCTGGTGGTCGGAGCTTGGTGGAGACGCGGTCGGGCAGAGCGAAACGGGAGAGACAGAGAAGCCTCCATGCCTCCTCCACTTCTGGGTTTTGGGCCCTGTCTGTCCTGAGTGGTGAACCAGGCTGAAAAAATTTAAATTAATTCTAGAATCAAATGCAAAAAATAGTTTGAGAAGATTATAGTGGCTTTTGTTTTTCTTAATAAAAAGCAAAAGCAATCTCAATTTTGTCAGTATTTGCATATCTTGAAAGGTTTTGTGAGTATTGCCTAATTTGAAGTCAAGACATATGCATTGCAAAATATGAAAATAAGTAAAAAAAAATGAAAATAAAAGTTCATTTCAACGCATTAAACACGAGATCAATCTTAGATATACAACACTTTGAAGATTTGTATTACTACGAATAGTATGAATTCTGAGATTTCCACAATAATAACTAGAGAAAGTATATTAGGAATTTAGGGTTGATTAAGAAAATGTGAATGTAATAAAATTTGGGATGACTCCAAGTGTACGGAAATAAAAAAAAAATACATACTGAAAAAGTACAAAAAAATTTGGACCATTTCTCGATTTGTGCGTGTCATCCTTGCGCAGGGGCCATGCTAATCTTCTCTGTATCGTTCCAATTTTATCGGATGTCTCCGAAGAGACAAGCTCCTCTATCTCGCTTGAACATTATAAACTGAGGCGCATGTGTGTCCATGGTCGATGTGGGACTCTTCCTAAATTCGTACTTATTTTAAGACTGGTCATCGGAGTTCTCATTTCTTAACTTTTTTTTACTCATGTGAGGCCCACATTTACATCAAAGTTGGGTCATGTGGTCCAAGCAACTTCCCCATTTGAAAAAGAATTCTCTCTCTCTCAAGCTTACCGCTTCCAAAGTTGTTTTATCTAAAGTAATCTATATTATAAGCCACTTTCTTTTAGTACGAAATGCAAGACTTTAAGTGTTCTGCTTTTGTGACCCTTTTCCTTTCAGTGTATTGTGAATAATGTAGTGTCTTATGTACCTTGTTGTCTTTAGGGTTCATCTTGACAGAATCATGTTCTGCCATGAACTCCCACCTTAGTGTGCAGTATCTGCACTGTGATACACTGGATGAGTGGATGAGATCAAGTTGTCCTGCCATATCTTTGCTTTCCTGCCTTGTCCTACTCTCTTATGCTTTATTTTTCCAAAGTTGCTTTATCTATAGTAATCTACTTTGTAAACCACTTTTCTTTGAGTATTATTTTTACATATAGTTAAAGTCATACCTTCACCAGTTCCTAACATGGCGAATATTCGTACGACAGTATATAACATAAGCTGCCAAACAAACAATAAGCAGTGATGACTTAGGACACACTCGGAGGCCGATCTCTGCAAACTTAGAGGCTGGAATGAGTAGCGACGATCTGTTTGGAGGTGAGTACCGGGTGTTTTTGAGTTTTAGAGGATCGGACTCTCGCCATGGATTCACTGATTGCCTCCACCATGGCTTGGTGGATGTCGGGTTCAGCGTTTTTAGAGACGACGATGAACTCCAAGTTGGCAAACAAATGAAAGAAGAGTTTCCTGTGCGATAGAGAACTTCATCATCTACATAGCTTCCAGTCATTGGTGCCTCCGCGAGCTCATAGTCATGGTACAACTAACTTCTAAATCGGAGGGGAAGAAAGAGATTCTTCCCATTTTCTTCGATGTTGAACCTGAGAATGTCCCGCTTAAAACTCCATCCTACCGTGATGCCATATTGAAGTTGGAGCAAGAGCAGAAGTTGATCACTGTTGCGGTTGAGGCTTCTCGAAAGGCTCTTCAAGAAGTCGATGAAATAAATAGATGGAACCTGATGAAGGATGACGCGTAAGCTCTTCTCGATTTTTTCTTTTTCATAGAACATGTTCTTGATAAGCTCCACCTAACCGTCGGAAAAATCTTGTAGTGATCAAGATTTCTATTGTTTAGTATCAGTGAAGTTTTCGCGTTTGCATCGTGTCTGCTGTTTTACCATTTTTTATCCCTAGTCTTTTACTTGGAAAAGGAACATTAATAAAGTGAGTACAAACATGAACGAATGTATTATGATCTTTCCCACTAAAACTGGTTTGCAATTAATTGTGACAGCCGAGGAGGACTAATCAAACTGGTTGTTGGGGTGGTTTTGAATAAGCTGAAGACAATACATAAGTCCGTGACTGAACATTTAGTCGGAATGGACGGCGGAGTGGCAGATCTGAGAAAGTTATTAGATATCGAAGCAAGTGGTTTCTGGCTGGCTGTAGCTCATGCAATGAGAGGCATAGGAAAAATGACTCTTGCCAAGGTCGTCTTCAATCAACTATCGCCTCACTGTGGAATGTGCAGCAGTTTCCTTGAAGACATCCGAGAAAAAGTCATCAAGAGATGAAGGATAGTCAAGTTGCAAAAAAGGTTATCATCGGATATTGTGAATTCTTCCGCGGCGAACAACATTGATGATGTTGATTATGGTGAGCAGAGGATTGGAGAAACACTCCACAAAAAGAAAGTCCTCATTGTTCTCGATGACGTAGACAAGAGTGAACAAGTCCAGAAATTAGTCAGCAAGTGTACCATGTGGTTCAGGTTCTAGAGTTATTATTACAACTAGGAATAAAAATGTTTTGCATTATAAAGAATTAATGTATGGCGTTCTAAATTATGAAACGGAGGAAATGAGTTTTGATCATGGACTGCGGCTTTTCAGCAGGCATGCCTTCAAGAGAGACACTCCTTTAGATGACTACCACATCCTTTCAAGAGACGTCGTCTCCATAACTGGACTACTTCCTTTGGCTCTTGAAGTGTTAGGTTCGTTCCTTTATCGAGAAGGAGATAGGAAAAGAGGCAAGACAAATCAAGTTCCACAAGATATCGCAGGAAAGTTGAAGAAGAGTTATGATGCCTTAAGTACTGATGTTGCTTGCTTTTTCATTAATGAGAACAAGAATAATGCAATTCACGTGTGGAAGGATTGTGGATAGTCTCCAGAATGGGGTATTGATGTCCTCAATAAAGGTTCGAAATGACAAGGTGTCCTGGATGCATGACCAACTATGAGATCTTGGAAGGGAAATCGTCCATCAAAATGCTGTAACAGATCCTGGAAATAAAGCAAAGCGACAACTATCGATAAATATTCTCTATTTTACCAAGTACCTTTCTTTTGAGGGGTTTCTTCTTCTCTGTGAAATGTGGTTGCTGAACAGAGAAGAGGAACTTCAACTCGCTGATTAGTTTTTACTGTAACAGAGAAAAAAAAATGTTCAAGCACTCCATCTAGCCTGGCATAGTTTTCCAAGATTCCATATTACTATTGGAAAGATGGAAGAATTTGGACAACTAAGGTTCCTTAAATTGGACAGAAAAACTTTTGTTGGGGACTTCACCAATTGACTTTCAAACTCAAGATGGATTTCTTGGGCTTATCCTCAACCGGATTTTAGGGTGGCCAGTATGCATTAAAGAATGGAGTCGTTTTCGAACTTTGTTACAATGACTTCACAAATGAAGTATGGAGCATACTCAAGGTAAGTTATGTGTTTACTTAAAGCCAAATTGTCTGATCTTATGGTACTTTTTTTTAGTAAAGTCCATCTTCTAGTCTGTTTTTATCTTTCTCCTTTAGTTGTATGATCCTCTAAACTAGATATTTCACTTCTGCAATACGTTGTTCTCTATTTGCAGATGGCAAGTTCTGACGCTGAAAAACTGTTCTGCCATAACTAAAACTCCAGACTTTTCTAGTTGCTCCCAAGTTCGATGGAAATTGACTGCTCCACTGGAAAACTGAAGTGCTTGGCTGACTTGAGTATTGAAAGTTGCAGGCGTCTTAAAGAGTTGCCTGAAGAAATTGGAGGGCTGGTGAATCTTAAGCATTTCTCTTTAAAGGGATGTTTTATGGAGAAGAAACTCCTCGACTTATTTGGTAAGTTAGCATCATCGAACAAAGTTTTCTGTATGGAACACGGCGATCCGTTGCTTACCGGATTCTATTAGTGGACTAAACTGTTTTGTCAACTCTTGGCATATAACACACGCCAATCACCGAACTTCTGAACTCTATTGAAGGGCTGGTGAAGCTGGAGAACTCGTCTTTCTTTCACTAACTTTAGGATACTTTCTAGTTCCATCAGAAAGTTGAAATCATTCCGCGTGTTGGAACTGTCACATCTTAATCAATTGGTACATGGAAACTGATGGGAGTTTCCTAGTTATATTGGAATGTTGGAGAATTTGGAATAGCTACATGTCTATAGTTGTCCAGTGTTAGAGGTTGAAATCCCTGCCGAACTCGGGACATGGTCCTTGTTGAGAATCCTAAATTTATCGCGTACAGGAACCGTCCGTTTGCCAGGACAAAGATCTGCTTCCTCGCCTTGAAAAAATGAACTTTGTATAGCGTGAGATTGAAGAGTTGCCAGAGCTTCCCATGAGTTTGATGTGTTTACAATTCGAATCTAGTTCGTTGCACTTGGTTTCTAATCTCTCGAATCTGACAAATTTGGTGGAATTGATTCAACATGTTGGCACTGGTTATAATGAAGGGTTAAAGTTAGTGCTGACTTGTGACCTACGGTGGATTGGGAGATTGTCTAGACTGAAAGAAATTGAGTTGTGCCTTAGGAATATCACTGTGCCCCCCAGTGAGGCTCGCTTTCTCTTCTAAACACTTACTTCGTCTGTACTAGACCCCCGCGATCCTGCACGCAACTTCCATCTTTTCTGGTGGATTCAAACCTTGATGAAGTCCAGCTTGAAAATTTTTGAAAACATGTCGGCTTTAGATCTCTCTCCTTCTGGAATGAAAGCGATACAACTTGAGGGACTTCCAAGTTGGAGAAGTTTGGTCAAGTGTTGTGAACTCAAGAGATCACCCATTTGATCAAGGCTTAAAGAAACTGGAAGTAATAGACGTGAGCTGGTGCTCGAAGCCGGTTGAGGTTCAATTTACTGGCGGCGTGCTGGAATCACTGAAGAGATTAGCTATCTAAGGCGGGGAGTCTGTAGTAAGGTTAGGTTCTCTCTTGGAACTACAGCCATCGAAGATATCTAAATATCTCTAACAGAGGGAGTCAACTGCTCGTGGGCTGAGAGTATTCCTTCTATCGAGCGTCTTAAAGAATCTAGAAGAGAAGTTTTCCGAGTGCCAAAAGCTACCCAACATCCAAGTCGTCCGCAAGTTGGAATCATTGGAAGAGTTCTCTCTTTATAGGCGCCACTCTTATGGAACGATTAGTTGATTTGTCAAAATTGAAGAGCCTGAGGCGTATCAAAATCAACCAGTGCTACGGGCTACGGGCTGTTGAGGGCCTTTGATCAGTTAAGAGGTTTCGGACAGGATGGAATTTGATGAGTGTAGATCATTCGAAAGGTTGATGGATATCCCGAGCGCGAAAGTACCAGATGGGCGCCTAATACGTATTTTTGGGTCATATTCGGGTCGGGTATCCGTTCTCGTCAGAACAAGCCAAATCCTTCGTGTTTCGGTTCGGGTCTGGTATCGTGGAAACCCGACTCGACTTGAACTGAACTGTTGACACCTCAGTGCGTGCAAAGCAAACGTATTCTGCAGAGAGAGATGTAGAGAGAGAATGGCGAGGGCAGTGAGAGGAGTGATACTCAGACGAGTCGAGGACGACGCGTGACCTGAGAAGGTAGCTAGTTTTGTCGTGCCTCTTTGTCATTTTAGATCCGAATCACTTGGGAAAAATGAAATAGGGAAGCTAATCATATTCACTATGGCCTCGATGTGAATCTCGGTTCCTGATGGATTTTCATGCAGCTTACGGGAGTAATCTGATTTTGTTCATTGTACTGCGTCTGGGAAGCTAGGTGCATGTTTGGAAGCGCACGGAAATTCACTGCAGCAAGTAATTTAGGGCCTGAATGAATTTTTAACTTCTGCTACCTTTTGCTTTGCTGCCTGTGCATCCCTTATCTGGATTGAAGAGCTATTTTTCTGATTGTCCGTGCTTGTCTTTGCATTCATGTTGTATAAGTGCGACGTTGCAAGGATAAACAAAAATATATATATATTTTAATTTCGACAGTATTTTTCATCTCGAACTACTACATAACATTTTCGATTTCAACCGCGTATCTTCGTGGTAAATTGAGCACCTTTCTCGAGGGCATGAATATAATCATGTAACTCACTAATAAAAGAAGCTTTGACCTTACACCCTTAAGAATAATTGATTAACCGGTTGTCTGATAAAAATTTAATGAATCTAGTTGTCGATAAAAACAAGATAATCGGAGAGGAAAGTAAAAGCTACCCTATCGTCAAATTGCAAGAAATCTGTAATGATGCAAATTGATTGAATTATAATCAATTCGAAGAGTTTGTGTTTCGACAAAGCTGCAAGAAATCTGTAATGATACAAATTGATTCAATAATAATCTATTTGAAGAGCTGTGTTTCGACTGTTCTATCATCTTCTTCTTCTTGATTTTTATTGTTGTATCTATTATGATCTTCTTTTTTTTTTTTTCTATCTTGTTCTGACCGGACACCGCTTCTTCGCCTCGCTTTAATATTTTTGATGCAATCTTCATCCATCGTGTACTTTTTCACTATATTCACGCAGCACAGGCCATCCGCTATTTTATTAGCACAGGGATTACATATAAACAAAAAAAATCACAGAGAAAATTGCACGTAGTAGGAAATCGTGCATTAAATTATTCTGTAGCTATCAAGAGATAGCTTCCCATCACGAAATACAATAAAAAAAAAAAGACACACCAGTTTTTATTCGCAAGTTCATAAAGAAATACGAATAGATCGAATCGATAGTATCGTACCGAGATTGTTAATTCGCTAGCGAAGGCTTTGGGATTTTAGAAGGTCAATCACTGTCGATGATCGGCATTGATTCCTCCTCGCCCCTGAAGATGTAATGTGGGGCCCATTCAGGTCTGTAGACAATCCCGAGATGAATCATCAACAGCCAAACGAAGGCGAGAAGCTCTCCACCTCTGCTCAGCACCTGCGCATGCGCCTCTCCCTTGATATGCCCTGCTGCGTACGTCAGCATCTCCACCCACACCCCGCTCATCACCCTCCCACTTCCTTTCCCCGAGCTTCTCTATTTCATGGGCCAAAAGGATCCCCCGGTCGAGCGAGGGAATCTCACGGAAGGGACCGAACGCTTTTACATTTAGGTCAAACATTGCCTCGCATAAGCTCTGCACATCCTCGGCATCGATGCGGTCCCGTAGCTCCCGCAACACAGTCGCCGATCTCATTTGGGCAATGCCGGCCACAACGGACACCACATTAGGCTGATTAAGTAAAAGATACATCATGTAGTCGGACAGAATCTTGCTAAATTCCCTCTCGTCATTTCCGGCTGCGGGATCCTCTCTGTTATACCACATTTCCGTAGCAAGATGCCAGGTTATAATGCTCTCATTGTAATTAGCTAGGGTGACATAATTCTCCCGAATAGTCTTCTCCGTGTCAGAATCATGCTGGAGAGTCTCGAGAAACCAATCCCCTCTAGCCTCTTGTATCTTCCTTATACCTTCCGAAGAAGTTGCGCAGTTGGATTTACGTCTCGCCTCCTTAAAGATAAATATCCATAACTTCATAATAAATGGATTTGTTGACACATACCTCGTATTCACAATCATCAATCTTTTTCTATCCATGATCCTCATACCAAAGCCTCTGGCGATTGTATCAATAGCTCGATGGGAATAAGGGATGGTCTTCTTAGCCATATAAAATGGAAAACCGCAAATATTAGAAAAAGCGATGTTTCCCCAGCACCAATCGCGCTTATACATCTTTTTCGGACTCTTCTCGAAACTCTCGGATAAAAGGTTGCAAGCAGAAATAGATTCTGACCACCTTCGAAATATTAATGGTGTATCTAAGACCGTATAAGTAACCTGTGTGTTAAGCTCTGCTTCACATGTGGGGATTCGCGGCTTCGTTACGTAATCTGTGGCGGATACCAGGTTGTGGAGAAATGAATCTAGGTTAGGTGATCTTGTTTTGTACCACTGGATTTCGGCAACGGTCCAGCTAGAGAAAACGAGCATGAGCACAGCTATCACATCAAGAGCAATCCCTCCGAAAAGAAGTAAATACGTAATTTTCACATCGAGTTCGGGGAGCTGATGCTTTTTCAAGCGATTGAACACGATGAAAGCCATCGCAACGCCAATGAAGGCTATGAAGCGGAAAACGTAGCTCCACTTGGAACGTATTGCCAATGCTTTTGTGTGGAGCACCTCATAAATGAAATGGAGTTCGACTGATATTACCCTTAGCGCATCCATCGCAGACACTTTGCGGAAATATTCTTGGCTTATTTGGTGTTGTCTTTCTGTGAAGATGAGATCTGTGAGGAAAACCTTCGAGATTTGAAAGAAGTAGTAAGCATGCTTAACCATAACGCTCTCGGCAAGCTTTGCTTCTTCATCATCACGAGAATATCCATTCGGTAGATCAAGTGCACCCTTTGTCTTCTTCACCATGTTGTCATCGGGTTTGTCATGAGACTTGTCAACTCCATAATCATCATGAGACTCCTGCTGCGAGAGCATCCATTCCCTAAGCCTTGGGAGGCTTGAGCGATTAAGTGCCAATGTCCTCTCCACATTTTTTATGACCCCGGCAAGAAAAATCAGCATTGTTGGGAACACCAGGGACTTGTCGCTGGGAAATATCTGTGCAAAGACATAGATGACGGCACCGACTTGGAAGGTGAGACTGAGCAGGTGCCGTCGCCAAAGCGAGCTGTCCTCTAGAGAAAAGGCAGTGATGGCGTCCGGACCGCCAAGATGTAACAAGAGAAATGAGGCCCAAAATACTCGAAGTGCTTT